TGGGCTTGTTTAGTTTGGAAAAAAGAAGATTAAGGGGGGACATGATAGTGGTTTTCAAATATCTAAAAGGGTGTCACAAGGAGGAAGGCGAAAATTTGTTCCTCTTGGTTTCTGAGGACAGGACATGGAGTAATGGGCTTAAAGTGCAGCAGGGGAGGTTTAGATTGGACATTAGGAAAACATTCCTAACTGTCAGGGTGGTCAAATATTGGAATAAATTGCCAAGGGAGGTGGTGGAATCTCCCTCTCTGGAGATATTTAAGAACAGGTTAGATAGACATCTGTCAGGGATGGTGTAGACGGAGCTTGATCCTGCCTTGAGGGCAGGGGGCTGGACTCGATGACCTCTCGAGGTCCCTTCCAGTCCTATGATTCTATGATTCTATGATTCTATGCAGAGCTCTGGTGTTCCTGTCAACGACACCCAGAGCTCAGCTGATGCAAACCCAGAGTCACTCCTAAGCCTGCGCCTGGCGCAATGATCCAGCCCAGCCTGGGGACTCGTTAGCAACGCCAACATTTTAATTACTCCCATGGAGTGCTGTGTCTGGGCTGGGCATAGCCCATCTACAGAGCTTAATTATCACGTCTGCCTCTTCTTCCTGGATCCAAAGTAAGCTGCCCACTTGGGGAAGGGCAGGAATTAAGAGCAATTACAGGAATCTCTTTGAGACTTATTAGATCTGCGGTGCTAGGACAGCAGCAAATGGCTGGATGGGATCATGGCTGGAAAATCACCGAAGTCGGCCGGTTCCTCCCCTCTCACTCTGTGCCGTGTCTGTGTCCTTGGCAGGGCCAGGCCCAGTGAGACGCAGAGCGACGTTCTGCCCAGTGAAAGGTGGGGGATGGGGTTGACACCCCTTCCTGTGCGGGGGGCAGTGAGCTAGCGAGGTCTGACAGGCCGGCTCTGTCTTGCTCAGTGTCTGAGTGACCCCAGAACCATGGTGCCAGGATCCGGGGGGAATTGGGGGGGCACTGCCGTCCTGTGAAAAGTGATGCAATTCTCTCCTCGGCGGCTCTGCTGTCCTGCGGCATGTGACGAACAGGATGGATGGTCCCTCTGTCTCCCCTCCCCGACTCCACCCTGCTGCAGAACACCTCCCCTCCCCATGTGCTCAGAGACAGAGCCGGGACGGGGGGGGGACCACGGGAGACAGAAACCCCGGGGGGAGCTCAGCTGGTTTCAGAGGCCTCCAGCCAGACCCCGGGCCCCCTGCTCTGCTGTCCTGCGGCATGTGACGAACAGGATGGATGGTCCCTCTGTCTCCCCTCCCCGACTCCACCCTGCTGCAGAACACCTCCCCTCCCCATGTGCTCAGAGACAGAGCCGGGACGGGGGGGGGACCACGGGAGACAGAAACCCCGGGGGGAGCTCAGCTGGTTTCAGAGGCCTCCAGCCAGACCCCGGGCCCCCTG